TCACCTTCTTTTCATTTCAACTCTTGTTGAGATCATCCTAAAATTATTCTAAATGGTCTTTAGAAAATTGACTTTTAACCAGGTGTAGTGGTTCACGCCTGTAATCCCAGCTATTTGGAAAGAAGAGGCAGGAGGATTTGAGTTTCAGGCTTGCTTAAAGCAAAGGTAAAGAGAAAAAAAATCAAAAACCCAGAACAAACAAGCAAACAAGCAAACACCCTAAGCTGAAAACAAAGCAAAACACAAAGGGCCGGGGACGTGCTTCAAGTGTTAGAGCACTTGCCTAACACATGCAAAGTCCTGGGTCTGATTCCTAATACCACCAAAAAAAAAAAAAAAAAGAAAAAAAAGGAAGAAAAAGGTAATAATTATTAACACTGGAGACAACGTAAAATTTAGGCTGCACACTCTCAAAGGTAAAACTCACCTTTGAAAACATTTTATTCGCTGAAATTTGCATAATCTCTTTGCTCATATGAATTTACACATTTGTTTTCGGGTTTAGTTTGTAGCCTTGAAAAGCCTGACATTTTTATGTAGGAGTAATTCCAGTCAGTGCCAACAGGTGGCACCAGGCCGCCTCCAAGGCCATTTCCTTCCATGTACAGGCTGGTGTTTGCCAGCACTTTTGTTCTGGTGACAGCTTCCCTAGGGAGCCCAGGCTGCCATGCACCACCGCGCCAGCCTTCAAGCACTTGTGCGCTTACAAATCGGTTTCCCTTCTTCCGAAAAAGAAATCTTGGTAAGTAAGAAAGCTTCTGTGAATGTTTCAAATTATGACAAAAGGGCTTCCAACAAGCAAGACAATGCTAAGGACCGAAATAGGAAATTGTTAGCATTTCTTTGAAATTTTTGCAAATCACTTTAAATGTTTTTTAGAAGTCGTGAATGTCCCTTGAATTGCAGAAGAACAAGCAGTGTGTCTTTCCGGCTGATATAAAACAACGAGAACTAGTTAAGGGACAAAAATCTAACTCGTTATTTAGGTCTTCTGGGCTGTCTGCGTCGTTCTCGTCACCTCTCTCTAGTTCATCGCTTTCATGTTTGCAGTGGCTTGTCACCGAGAAGCAGCAGTTTCTATCACGTTTCTTTTTTTTCTTTATCACGTTTATTTTTTTCGTAGACAAGTGTGTTTGTTCCTCCTGGCACGCGGTACTGTAATCAGTTATTGGTCTGTCACTAATTCATAAGCTTTTTGCAAGGAGGGGTTATGTCACTCCTGCTCAAATTCGTACCCCCAGCACCAGGCACCTAGCATGGTGCCTGCCCAAAGTAGAGGAAGTGACAGGAACCAATCTTCATAACTTTGAGTCACCACAGTGCTAGCACCTGTGCTCACACTTGCTCCTGCAGGTCATGACAGGTCACCTGACTGACCCAGGAAACACTGTTCTCTGGAATATTGTCGACTGGATTCTGAATTCTTTCCTGCACTTGCCTCATTTAGTGCTAATCTGGGTGTCTCTTCTTTCTTGTGGTTTTAGTTTTTATCAGTTCCCTCCCCCATTTGCTTAAAAATAGGGTTTATGTCAACCGTTCTTTTTTCTTTCCCTGTTCATTAAAGAAACACCTTTAACCTACTGTCTCTTTTTACTTACTTTAAAAAAATGATGATCTCTTGAATTGTCCACACTCATCTTTCCTTTTTCTTTTCTTTTTTTGTAATATGAAATTCGTGGCTGGTTCAGTGTCTACCCTAGGAACTGCTGGAGGGGTGAACACCCCGCCTGAGCTTTATTTGTGTGTTTGTGGCAGGGTGCCACAGGCTATTGCCTCTGTTCCAGTCCCCTGAACACAGACACCAGGGTGCGAGGGGGACCTGAGCACAGGTCCTCACTCTGAGTGTCTGTGTTGAAGAAATTCCTCCTCTCTCTGTAAGTATTCATATTCCGAACAATACAAGCATGTTTTAAAAACTATTTGTACATTAGCTGTACCTAAAGACAACTCTTACGTTATTTTAAGGTAACATTTTGAGATGACAAAAGATGTACAAAATTAGAAATTTTAGAAATATTTGAGAGTATAGGAAAGAAAAGTAAATATCTGATTCAGAGATACTTCACTGAAGGACAGTCGTGACAGAGATTCAGTCACTTCTATCACTAGCATTTTCTGCATTTTCTTCGCATTCTTTCCCCTCGGTTTTGTGTGTGCCAGGTTGAAATCATACTTATAAAATGAGAGCCACACTCTATATACAATTGGTATTCTTTTATTCACTAACATCATAGTGCAGGTTTTTTTCAACATGCAGTTACTTAAGACTGCGTGTTAACCTGTGGATGTGCTGTAATTGACTGGAACATTTTCTATACCAGGCATTTTGGGTTTTTTTTCATTTTCATGGTCACGACATGCTCAGAGTCATGTTTTTGTGTGTACCTCTGATTATCCTTTTGCATATTTCTGGAAGTGAAATTACTAAAATAAAGGAGGCATATTTCAAATGAATTTATAAAAACTACCAAATTACCCTTAAGAACTGTCATACTAATTTTTCATTCCTGCCTAAGTAGTAAATGAGATTCCTTGTTTCAGTTTCCACCTACTAACATTGGATATTGTATTTCTGAATTTTCCCTATATGCTAAGTGAAAAAAGTCATACTTTTTAAAAATCTTTTTTTTTTTTTTGGTGGTACTGGGGTTTGAACTCATGCTCGCTAGGTAAGCGCTCTACCACTCGAGCACTTAAAAAAATCTTTTAAGAAACAAAAATTCTCATTTGACTTACTTTTATCTTTAATGCTTAAAAATCTTAAAATAAATTATAGAAATACTGACAGTTTATTCTTAAATACTTTATTCTGTATATATCAAAAAGTCACGTATTCCAGTATAGCAAAATAATATTACCAACAGTAACATTTATTTCTTAACAGCATCTAATGCTTACTGCATCTCCCCTCCCCCAACTCAAATATCTTTTCCACTGGGGAGGGAAGGGGGGGGTCTGTCTAAATCAAGTTCTAATTTCAGTCAGGAGTTTCACTTAGATGTCATGTGTAAGTTCGTTTTAGTATACATTTTTATTCTTGGTGAGATTGGACACTATTCATATTATAGGTTGTTGATATTTTTGTAAATAATCTGAATAAATAATATGCTCTACTTAATTTTGAATGTTAAAAACTTGATTAATACAGGTAAAAGCCACGAAGAAGACAAACCCTTTATGATCTGACCACGTAGAGGTAGTTGCTGTCAGTATTTTGTATATATCTTATTGATTTTCCCACGAGTATGTGTACATGTTTACTTTGGTAAAATAAACCAATTTTCATCATTTACATACAGGTAGTGAGCATTTTTTTCTAGAATTAGGTCTTTATTATTATTATTTTGGTGCTGAGCTCAAACTCAGGGCCTGGTGCATGCTAGGCAAGTGCTCTGCCTCTGAGCCACACCTCCTACACCTATTTCCAAAGGCCACTCAATATTTAATTATGTGGAGATCCTATAATTTATTTGACAACCTGGTTTTAGGGACAATTAGATTTCTATTTCAAAACATAATTTCTTTGTCCTGGCCACTTTATTGTACCCTCTAACTGGTGCTAAGTTTTCCAGTTGTTTCTCTTGGATTTTCTATATTTACAAGCATAAAATCTAAAAACTAAACTCATTTTATTTTTTTATTTCAATATTTTTTTCCTGTTGTTTCCCCTCTTTACTACAGTGGCTACAACTTCTAGAAAGAACTATGTTAAAATGTTGAAGCGCTCAGGCATCCTTGGAGCTGACTTTAACAGCTATGCCTTGAGTTAGGATTTTGGTTGCAGGTAGATATTTGAGATGGTCTTTATCAAGTTTTCAAAGTGTCTCTTAATTATCTAGTTTACTTTTTAAATTTTACTTTTGATTTTTTATGCATTCATAATATGAGGGGATTTCATTGTGATGATTCCATGCATATATACAGTGTATTTTAAATAAGTTCACCTCCATTATAGTCCCCTTCTTCTCAGTATTCCTTCCTTTCCTCCTCTCAAATACGTTCATTTTTTATGAAAGATGAGTGCCAAATTTTATTAAGTAAAGTTTTCAAATTTATTTTATTAGCATAAATTAATTATACAAAGGGGGGTTTATGGTGATATTTACAACTTGCATATAATGCACTTTGATAAAATCCACCCCATCTGTGTTACTCTTTCTAACTCCTCTCCCTCAAGTGAAGTTTTAATACCCCTGGGGCTGCTCACCTGTTCTTCGCCTTTGACGTACTGAGGTATTATTGCCAGAGATCTGCTAATAATGACTATCATTTACAATCCAGAAACATTCTAATTATTCATTTGGATTATTCCTTAAGGACACACACAGCTAGATTGATTGGAGCTTCTTCATTCCAAGCTTTGGACCCCTGCCATGATTGGAATTTATCTGTTTTACTTGTGTTTTCCAATAATTACTCTTAATTTTATCGTATAGATATTTAAACTTATATTTTTCTACCAACATCTTGAATTAGTTGGTACCTATAGCTTCCTCTCAGTCAGGCAAAGATTTCAATATGCCTTTTGGTGCACTTTCTCCCTCTCTTCCACCATCTACCAATTCCTTGACACACTTTGGCAGTTTAAGTTCCAAAGTTAAAAATTCTGTCATCAGTTTTTATTGGTGCTTGGCAGTAAATTTTACTACTTTTCTTTTGCTAAGAATTTATTACTCTCTCCTGTTTTAGGGGGATTTAGTTTCTTTTTTCAGAGGATAAAGTCCATTCTCTGGGAATTTAAATAGAGATCTGTCTTCTATGTCTTTTACCTTTAATTTTTTTTTCCCATCTTTTCTTTTTCTGTAGTCTCCCATTCTGAATTTTGGGGAAATTCGTTTCCTTGGTCTTCTATCTGACTAACTTTCTCAGCAGTGCTGTTTTGTAGTTCAAACACATCCAATGAGTTTTTCGTTTCAATAACTAAGTTTTTCATTTTCACAAGATCTACTCCACTGTCTTTTTTTAGAACCTCTTTCTGAGGATGTTGATCTTTTACAAATGCCTGTTCTGCTCTTTTATCTGTTTCTTTGGATGTTAGCCTCCCTTATGTCTTGAACATGACTCCTGTCCACCCTGGTGTTGCTCTCTGCAGTGTCATGCTTCTTGATTATGTAAACCAAATGATGTTTAAGGATCTTTGTAAAAGTGCTTGGGTCATTCTGTTTTCACAACCTGATTGTTGAGAGAGTGGATCAAACCAGTAGTTCTACTGCTGCCATAACAAATTACCACAAACTCAGTGACTTAAAAAAAAAAAGAACATTCATTATCTTAAAGTTCTGTGGAGTGGAAGTCTGACACCTGTCTTGTTGGACCAAGATCAATGGGTGGACCTGAATTCTTTCTGGAGGCTTGGGGAGAATTTATTTGCTTGCCTTTGAGTTTTTGGAGACAGCCCACCTTCCTTGGCTCATGGCCTTTGCTGTGGTTTGAATGTTATCTCCCAGAATTCATGAATTGGAAAGTTGATCCCCAGTCACAAGTGACTGATACTTGGAGGTGGTGCTTTTGATAGCACCCTCATGAATTGATTAATCTATGGACTAATGGACTATTAAGGGGATGGTTTGTTGTGAGAGTGAGCTCTCTCTGGAAAGCTTGTTCTGTCTTGTCATGTGATACCCTGCATCACCTGAGGACTTTGCAGAGTCCTCACCAGTAAAAAGGCCCTCACCCTTGGACTTCTCAGCCTTCAGAATTGCAAGAAATATGTTTCTTTTCTTTATAAATTACCCAGTCTCAGGTATTTTGTCATAGCAACAAGAAAGAAGACTAACACAGCCCCCTTCCTCCATCTCCAAAGCCAGTACTGGTAGGTCAAATTCTTCTCCTATCCCATTAATTCTGGTCTCCTCTTCTGCCTCTCTCTTCCACTTTTTTTTTCCTGATAGTATGGTGTATTTTCAAGTGCTTGTGAGTTTTCATGGGTGTTTTGGTGGCCAATTGGAGAGGATGTATGACAGGAGTGGTGAGGAGCTTTCACCAGAAGACACCTTTTTATAGCAAAGATTCCCCAAGGGAGAAGAGTTTTTACTCTCCCCAAGAGTGGTTGGTTCTAACCTCACTCATCTCTTGATGATTGCACTGTTTCCAATACCCATCCTATGATGAGGAACAGTGGATGCTTTTGTAAATAAAATTGAACAACAGCAGTGAAAATCTGTTCTCAACGATTCTGAAACTCAGGCCCACTTAGGAAATGCTGTTGCCTGCTTTTGTCCCTCAGGCTCTGTTCTGTGCCAAACAGCTTGAAAGAGGTTAGCAGTTCCAACTGTGTGTCCTCATCACAATCGTGGGATCTGTGGGTCCAAGCACCTGCCTGTCTCCACACCTCACATACAAAATCTTGTTCGCTTAGCACTGTTGTCGTCAGTATCAGTGTCTAGACTCCGTTGTGATGCAGGAAGGGAGCTTCTGGACCCCGAGGCTGTGGTTTTCCCTTAAAGACCACAGCTTTAGCCTTCTGAGTTCTTCCATGTACTCTTTTCTTCAATAAAAATATTTTTGAGACAGGGTCTCACTGTGTAGCCTAGGCTGGCTTCAAACTCACAAGCTTCCTGTCTCAGCCTCCTGAGCACTAGGATTACAGGCATACATCACTACACCAGCATCTTCCATGTACTTTTAAATAGATCTCTGTCTTCTCCCATTCTGTCAGTGTGTTAGCTGTAGGAACTTGATAGTCTCAGATTATTGATGCTAAATCCTGACTCTTTGAATTTGTGGCTTCTGGTCTAATATTTATTGGAAAATACCTATCCACTTTTATGGGACTTGTGTCAAAAGATGAGATCTGGTGACACAAAATAAATCCCTGGCATTAAAAAGAGTAGAGTGTACATGTCATCGCTATGATCTAAGTGTTCATTGGTATTTCCAGATTCATATGTTGGATTCTAATGAGCCATGGGATGGTGTTAGGAGAGGGGACCACTGGATAGTGATTAAGCCACGACGGCAGGAAGTCAGGATGCCACTGTGAGAATTCAGCTGGCCATGGAGGCTTGTCTTGTATTATGGGTTGTAGACAGTGTCTTGCTGGCTTTTGTTCCATGTATGGTCTCACAGACACTTTAATGCACAGTTCAGAGACTGAATGGTATAAACGTCTATGTTTCTGGAACTGGGTCATAGTTTGCTCTTTTGTACAATTTTAGTTCCACCCTTCTATCCCATTCCCAGACATGAGCTCTTTGGCCTTTTATGGCCATATCACTCCTTCGTCAGACAAAAGTACAACAGTTTATCTTGTATTACTTGCATCTCTTGATGTGATTCCATGGACTTTGGTATCATTTCTGCCAGGCCAGCTATAGCTAGCATTTTTTTTTTGATGAGTTTTTTTAACTCTACTACTTGAGCCACATCTCCAGTCCATTTTGCTGTGATTATTTTATAGATGGGGGTCTCATAAACTATTTGCTTGGGTTGGCCTAGAAAAATAATCCTCTGAATTTCAGCCTTCCAAGTAGCTGGGATTATAGGTGTGAACCACAGGCACCAGGGTACCTGGTCAGGTCCAATTCATGGAGGTAAAGGGAGACATGAATTTGGTCTCATTGCATCTTCATAAAAAAATGTATTTCCTGGCATATTCCACAGAGCTTTATCCATCAAGCCCCAGGTGGATCAGCATCCTAACAGGCCTCGGCATCTCATCAACCACCTTCCTACCCATCCTGAGGATCTGAAAGTTAAGTCCACTGTCAGCACTGTCCTGCAGTGCCCGGTTGGAGGTCTTCTTGGGCTCAACTAAACATTTATACTCATAGCCCCAAACAGACCACACTTGGCAGCTCATTTTTACAATAAGTAATGGTGTGTGGTAATACACCTGCCATTCTTGTTTTATCAGATATTCAGAACAGAGCTAGAAAGTCAACTCAGATTCATGGAGAAGGAGAGAAAGGGCTTTGTTAGCCCTTCAGCCATGAGCAGTCACCAATTGCAACAAGTGGATGAGTTTAGTGCCACATTAGAACGGGTATAGACTCCTGAGTATGTCTTACCGTTTCTGTGATTGGCTCCTTGTCCTTTTGTACAATTTTAGACTATCATGATGGATGGGCTAAAAATTTTGGGTGGGCATAGAAGGACTGTCCCATTAGAAAGAACAAACCATTTTTAGAGTACAATGGAAAGATACCATGGTCATATAGCCAACTTCTAAGACAGTTGATTTAAAATCTTTGCCAAACAAACACAATGTCTATGCTTCTTCTGGGACCATTTCTATTAATTGAATTTAAAATTAATGGACTGTATTTTTTAGAGAAGTTTCAGGTTAATGGAAAAATTGAGCAACTAGTACAGATAGTTCCCATATATCCCCCTCTCTGCCACTGTATTATAACGGTTTTCCCTGTTATAACATCTGGCATTTGTGTTGTATATTTGTTGCCATTGATAAAATAACATTGATTTGTTATTTTAAACTAAAGTTCGTGCTTTACTTTAGAATCCAGTCTTTGTGTTGGATAGTTCTACAGTTTTTGACAAATGTATCATGTCGTGTATCTAGCATTACATCATCAGATAAAATAATTTGATTGCTCTGAAAATCCCAGTGCTTCACTGCTGCACTCTCCCTCCTTCCTTTCCCTCCCCTGCCCCAAACTTTTGGTAACCCCTGATCTTTTTGCTCTATCTTTAGTTTCACCTTTTCCACATTGTCATCTAGTTGGAATGATACAGTATATAGCCTTTTAGACGGGCTTCTTAGTACTATGCACTTAAGGTTCTTCCATGTCTTGTCATGGCTTGATAGCTCATTTCTTTTTAGTTTTGAATAATATTTCATCATGTTAACATATAGATTTGTTTATCTTTTCACCTACTGAAAGACAGCTTGTTGCTTCCAGTTTGGGGCAGCAATGAATAAAGCTTCTGTACATTCACATACAGGCTTTTGTGTAGACATAAGTTTTCAGTTCATTTGGGTGAATACCTAGGAGTGTGACTGCTGGATCCTATGGTAAGACCATGCTTAGCTTTGTAAGAAACTGATAGATTGTCTTGCAAAATGACTGTACCATTTTTCATTCTCACTAACAGTGAATGACAGTCCTTGTTGCTCTATGTCCTCTCCAGTGTTTAACCTTTTCTTTCTTTCTTTTGTTTTGTTTTTTTTGTGGTGCTGAGGACCAAACCTAGGACCTCACATATGCTAGGCAAGTGTTCTATCATCGAGCTCTAGCCCCAGCCCAACGGTCTTGAATTTTAGCCTTTTTGATGGGTGTGTAATGGAGTCTCATTTATTATTTTAAGTTACAATTCCCTGAGGAAATATGATGTTAATAACATTTTCATTTGTGTATTTGCTATTTGCATATCCTTTTTGGTGAGGTGTCTCTTCATCTCTTTTGTCATTTTTAGTCATGCTCTTTATTTTTTTATCGTGCAGTTCAAGAGTTCTTCCTATATTTTAGATACAAGCCCTTAATCACATATGTATTTTACAAATAACCTACAGCTTATCTTTCACTCTTTTTGTGTGTGTGTGTGTGTGGTACCGGGGATTGAACTCAGGGCCTCATGAATGCGAGGCAAACACTAAACCACTGAGCTATATCCCCAGCCCTCACTCTTTTAAAAGTATTTGCAAAGCAGAAAATTGTAACAAAGTTAAACTTGACAGGCTTTTCTTTAGATTATGTTTCTGATGTGATATCTAAAAAGTCAGCAGCAGATAACCAGCCACCTACATTTGCTCCCGTGCCATGTTCTAGAAGATTATAATTTTGCAACTTACATTTAGGTCTATATCCATTCTGAACTATTTTCTTTGTGCAAATTGTAAGGTTTGTGTCTAGATTTGTCTTGTTCTTCTTCGACCTTTCTCTTTCTCTTCCTTTTCTGTGTATGTGATTTTTAGTTGTTCCAGCATCATTTGTTAAGTACGTGATTCTTTCACCATTGAATTACCTTTTCCCCACTGTCAAATCAGTTGACTATATGTTTGTGTGTTTATTTCTGAACTCTCTTTTCTGGTCCATAGATCTATTAGTCTATTCTTTTGATATTACACTGTCTTGACCACGAAAATAAAATCTTGATGTTGGATAGTGTCATTTCTCTGACTTTGTTCTTTAATTACTTTTTCCTCACTTTTTTTGTTTCTGTGCTATTAGGGTTTTTTTTTTTTCCAGACAGACATTTTGAATATTATAGTGAGGCAATTCTAGAAATTAGGTTCTCCCTCCCATTTCCAGGGTTTGCTATTGCTCATTGTAGGTTGTAATTATTTATTTGTTTAGTGATTTTCCTAAACTACTTTTGTAAAGACTATGTGTTATCTGTGGACGCTGAATTTTCTGTTGGTTCAGCAGTCAAGTAGTGAATTGAGATTTCTGCTTTCATAAAGCCTAAACTTTCAGCCCAAGGTGAAAGTTTAGAATTTCCCTAGGTGTGCTCTGAGCATGTGTCTTGCTGTGGGCAAATGTGTGGATGGACTCCTTGTATACTCCCTGGTATGCTCAAAGCTCCCAACCCTTTTTCTCCCATGTGTCTCCTTTCCTAGTCTCTTCCTTTCCTGGCTTTTTGGTGTATCTGCTGTTTGTCCATATGTCACCTGTGGCCCCAGGTGACTGCAGCTAGTATATTTGTCTTTAAATGTTTTGAACAGATGCCACCCAGGAGTCTGAGATAGTTGCGAGGTGTGTGAAACAAATACAAGCCCCCAGTGAATTCTTTAGAGCAAAACACTTAGCCACAGTTCTTTTTGTCCCACCTGGCATCAGCAAACTGATATAAAATTAATGGGACAGTAATGACTGTGACAGTGAACGAAGAAACTGTTGAGACTTTAGTAAGTGGAAATTTGAAAGCACTCATCCAGTATTTATTCATCTTAATGTATTTTATATTTCTAGAACCTGGACTCAAATCAAAATGCTCTGAAGAACAAGAGGCACCTTTCCCGAGAGGCACTGCATCATGACCAGAGACAAAGAGCCTATTATCAGACATTTTCGTTTTGTTTGCATCGTGACCTTAATCATTGGAACCATAATCCAGTTCTCTGATGAAAGCACATTTGTAGTGGACATGTCAAAAAGGCATCTTACTCATGTTCCAAGAGACCTGCCACCAGCAACTAAAGTCTTGGATTTGTCTGAAAACTGTATATCTGACCTTCAGATCTCTGACATTAGCTTTTTGTTGGGGCTGGAAGTTTTAAGACTCTCCCATAATAGAATCCAGACACTTGATTTTAATGTTTTTAAGTTTAACCAGCATTTGGAGTATTTGGATTTATCTCACAATCAGTTGCAAAACATATCTTGCTACTCTGTCGTGAGTCTTCAGCATTTAGACCTCTCCTTCAATGACTTCAGCACACTGCCCGTCTGTATGGAATTTGGCAACCTGACACAGCTGAGTTTCTTAGGATTAAGTGCTACAAAATTCCATCAATTAGACCTACTCCCAACTGCTCACTTGCATCTAAATCACATTCTTCTGGACTTAGGAGGATATTATGTGAAAGAGGATGAGGCAGAAAGTCTTCAAATTCTGAATACAAAAATACTCCACCTTGTTTTTCGGCCAAATAGTTTATTCTCTGTCAAGGTGAACATATCAGTTAATACTTTCGGGTGCTTACAACTGACTAATATTAAATTAAATGATAAGAACTGTCAAGTTTTAATTACATTTTTATTAGAACTCACTAAAGGTCCAAACTTACTGAATCTTACCCTCAACCACATGGAAACAACTTGGAAATGCTTGGTTAGAGTTTTTCAATTCCTTTGGCCCAAACCTGTGGAATATCTCAATATTTACAATTTAACAATAGTTGAAAACATTGATGAAGAAGGTTTCACTTATTCTAAGACAGCGTTGAAAGCACTGAATATAGAACATGTTACAAATCAAGTTTTCATTTTTTCCCAGACAGCGTTATACACGGTGTTTTCTGAGATGAACATTGTGATGTTAACCATATCAGACACACCTTTTATTCACATGCTTTGTCCTCAGGCACCAAGCACATTTAAGTTTTTGAATTTTACCCAGAATGTATTCACAGACAGTGTTTTTTCAAAATTGTTCCACTTTAGTAGGTTGGAGACACTTATCTTACAAAAGAATGGATTAAAAAAGCTTTACAAAGTAGGGCTCATGATTCTTCGGATGGAATGGTTATTGAACTTCATTGACTTCTTTTATTTATGGCGATGAGACACAATAGACTATTATCAACATTTGTGGTCGTTTTGTTTGTCATCGTGACTTGAATTTCAGAATTGGACACCATAAATCGATCCAGTTTTCCCTCTGATGAACGTTACAATCTTCTGGTGCGAGTGTTTGATTTCATGCTCAAAAAGGATCTTAACTCATCGTTCCAACAACGAGCACTCTGCTACGATCCCCTAGCTGTTTTGAGCTTTTCTTAATACGTTAAGTCTTGTTGGTATGTGTATGTTCATGAAAAGCCATGTTTTATTTGTTTATTCTGTTTACTTTGGGCATGATTCTCTGACATTTAGTTTTCTGGTTGTGGGCTGGAAGTTTTAAGACCTCCCATTTAATAGAAAATGGTCCAGAACTTGAACTTTTTTCCATTATGTATATTTAAGTTACTAACCAGCATTTGGAGTATTTGGATTTATCTCACAATCAGTTGCAAAACATATCTGCTACTCTGTCGTGAGTCTTCAGCATTTTAGACCTCTCCTTCAATGACTTCAGCAACTGCCCGTCTGTAATGGAATTGGCAACCTGACACAGCTGAGTTTCTTAGGATTAAGTGCTACAAAATTCCATCAATTAGACCTACTCCCAACTGCTCACTTGCATCTAAATCACATTCTTCTGGACTTAGGAGGATATTATGTGAAAGAGGATGAGGCAGAAAGTCTTCAAATTCTGAATACAAAAATACTCCACCTTGTTTTTCGGCCAAATAGTTTATTCTCTGTCAAGGTGAACATATCAGTTAATACTTTCGGGTGCTTACAACTGACTAATATTAAATTAAATGATAAGAACTGTCAAGTTTTAATTACATTTTTATTAGAACTCACTAAAGGTCCAAACTTACTGAATCTTACCCTCAACCACATGGAAACAACTTGGAAATGCTTGGTTAGAGTTTTTCAATTCCTTTGGCCCAAACCTGTGGAATATCTCAATATTTACAATTTAACAATAGTTGAAAACATTGATGAAGAAGGTTTCACTTATTCTAAGACAGCGTTGAAAGCACTGAATATAGAACATGTTACAAATCAAGTTTTCATTTTTTCCCAGACAGCGTTATACACGGTGTTTTCTGAGATGAACATTGTGATGTTAACCATATCAGACACACCTTTTATTCACATGCTTTGTCCTCAGGCACCAAGCACATTTAAGTTTTTGAATTTTACCCAGAATGTATTCACAGACAGTGTTTTTCAAAATTGTTCCACTTTAGTGAGGTTGGAGACACTTATCTTACAAAAGAATGGATTAAAAAAGCTTTACAAAGTAGGGCTCATGACAGAACATATGCCATCTCTGAAAACCTTGGACGTCAGCTGGAATTCTCTGGACTCCCCTAGACATGAGGAAGACTGCACTTGGGCTGAGAGCATAGTAGTGTTGAATTTGTCGTCAAATGTGCTTACAGACTCTGTTTTCAGATGTCTACCTCCCAAGGTCAAGGTACTCGATCTTCACAATAACAGAATACAGAGCATTCCTAAACAAATCACGAAGCTAGAGTCTTTGCAAGAACTCAATGTTGCTTTCAATGCTTTAGGTGACCTTCCTGAGTGCGGCACCTTCAGCAGCCTTTCAGTGCTGATCATAGACCATAACTCCATTTCCCACCCATCAGCTGACTTCTTTCAGAGCTGTCACAAGATTAGGTCAATAAAAGCGGGGGACAACCCATTTCAATGTACATGTGAGCTACGAGAATTTGTCAGGCGAATAGGCCAAGTATCAAGTGAAGTGGTAGAGGGCTGGCCTGGTTCTTACAAGTGTGAGTACCCAGAAAGCTACAAGGGAACCCCACTAAAGGACTTCCACATGTCTCCATTATCCTGCAACACAGCTCTGCTGATTGTTACCATTGGGGCCACCATGCTGGCGTTGACTGCTATTGTGACCTTTCTCTGCATCTACTTTGATCTACCCTGGTATCTCAGGATGGTGTGCCAGTGGACCCAGACCCGGCACAGGGCTAGGAATGTCCCCTTAGAGAAACTCCAAGGAAGTCTTCAATATCATGCCTTTATTTCATACAGTGAACATGATTCTGCCTGGGTGAAGAGTGAATTGGTACCTTGCTTAGAGAAAGAAAATATACGGATTTGCCTCCATGAGAGAAACTTTGTTCCTGGCAAGAGCATTGTGGAAAATATCATAAACTGCATTGAGAAGAGTTACAAGTCCATCTTCGTGTTGTCTCCCAACTTTGTCCAGAGTGAGTGGTGCCATTATGAACTCTACTTTGCTCACCACAATCTCTTCCATGAAGGGTCTAACAACTTGATCCTGATCTTGCTGGAACCCATCCCACAGAACAGCATTCCCAGCAAGTATCACAAGCTGAAAGCTCTCATGACACAGCGGACTTACCTGGAATGGCCCACAGAGAAGAACAAACGTGGACTTTTTTGGGCAAACATTAGAGCTGCTTTTAACATGAAATTAATACTAGACGTTGAGAACAATGACATGAAAAGTTAAAAAAAGTTGGGGAATTCAACTTAGGAAGCCATTATTAGTTGGACTCTGATGAACATTACGATTTTAAGTTATTTTCTGGAGGTGCTTCTGTTATGATTTGGGTATAAAATGTTCCCAGAGTCTCATGTGCTGAAGGCTTTGGGGACAAAGTTAGAGGTGCTATTGAGAGGTGACTACTGGGTCATGAGGGCACAAACAGCACCAGTGGATCAATCCACTGATAAGTTCGTACTGAATGGGCTGTAAGAGGTGGGGCTTAGTTGAAGGAAGTAGGTCACTGGTGCATGCCCTTGAAAAGCCTATCTTGTCCAGGCCCCTTTCTCTCTCTCTCTGCTTCCTGGCCACTAGAAGGTGAGCAGCCTTCTCTGCCACAACTCCTGGTGCCATGATTTTCTGCCTTGCCTCAGGCCCAAAGCAACGGAAGCAGCCAACCTTGAACTGAAACCTCTGAAACCATGAACCAAAATAAACCTGTTCTCCTTTGTTTATCTCAGATATTTTGTCACAGTGATGCAAAGCTGACTAGCACAGCTTCCACTTTCTCCACATCTTTGGGAAAGGCTTAGTAAAAGCCTTGTTTCAACTGAGCTAGGGAATTAGGCTTGGGGTAGGGGGTGAAGGTGGTGTTCATTTTGCCAATTAGAGACGTTTAATCTCTTCTGATTTAACTGTTCACTCTCACATGACTGAATGATCACTCAGGGAAAGGTCCCTCTCTTGTTTCCTTTCCCAAATAGACTCTGTTTGAGCAGGATTCTGTGTGGTTTCATGCCAGCAGGAAGACAGTCACTCTCAGAATTGTACACGCTGGTCCTTAGAGTATCCTATGGTCCTCATTGGTCTCTCAGTGAGCTTTATCATGTGGTCACCCTTGGGACTTTAGAAAAAATTTGACCACTTATGGAATATATGAAAGCATTTTTCCCCACATCTGAGTAATAGCTGATGACTATTTTGACCCTACTACACAAATATCTAATAACCAGTGGGGAGTCATGGCATAACAATGTATGTATACATAGAAAATATGGCCTTAATCATAAACTATTGAGGTGAAAGACATGGGTATCCTTGCTTGCCAAGGAAACTGAAAGCCAAATTTAGTGTAACTTGATATTGAATAATATTTTTTTTCTGCTTGTTTTAGAATTTTGGCCAACGTACAAAGCTGGCAAAAGGCAATTTCCTTCCACATTCCAGAGATACCAGACATGGGTAGCCTGGACTTCCTAAAAGAGCAGAAAGAGGCCAGTAATTATCAGCCCATATTACCATCTCCAGAAGACTAGATTCAAAAGAGTGTTTAGAGAGTCATTAAATGGAGGTTCTGGATCCTGGGGAGGTGGCTTTGAATTTCTCTCCAAGGCAAGCAAAAGAAGCTGTAACATCATAGCAAAGTAGCCTGATGTCTCACCTCTAGACTGAAAGCTGGCAGAGTAAGAGTTCAGCACAGCAGACAGAGTGTGGTGTGAGAGCTCTTGGGAAGTGTAGTGAATGTACCCTAGAGTGCAGGGATGGTGGGGATTGTGACATGGGGACTGGTAAGTAGTGCTCAGAAAACATAGGTGCTGGGTAAGTAATTAATGAGTGAACAAGTAATTGCTTCCTTCTTGAGGAATTCAAAGGTGAGAAGTTGGCATGGGGAGCCCCAAATGGTGAGAGAAGGGAAGCTATTGTAGCAACCTGCTCTTCCATTTTTGGCATGACAAAAGCAAATGAATTTCCTGTGTGCCATGCTGTGCAGGAGAAGGGTAGTTGCATTTGAGTTGCTGTGGTGATGGGACCTCAGCTAATAAGGCAGCCTGTTGTGCAAAGGGACTGTGGCACCAAGAGCACATGGGGTGGGTGGTGGGGGTAGTGAGGTGGGAGAGGTATCTTGCCAAGGGGTGGTGGAAGAGGTTGCTGCAAGAGATAAACCAGACAAGTGCCATTTGCAATGTGGAGATCACTCAAGGCCTCCCAATAGCAGACAGATGCTCACCTGAAAGAGCCAATATTTGGATTTCACCTTAGGAGGAGACAGGGGCACGATGGCCTGTTTGCCTTGTCCAATAGTTAACACAGGGGGATTTTTCCCTTTGTGTAATACCCTCTTCCTTTGCAAAGGTCTGGGATGTCCAGAATATAAGGAGACAGAGAAGAAGGAAGAAAAGAAAAGAAATTGAATACATTCCTTCCCCCCTTTACTGCAAGAAAGGCCTGAGCTAGGACCAAGAAGAATTTGGAATGAGGTGTGAGATTGCTGTTAAATTGGACTGGCTTAGACACTTTAATCCTGATACAGAGGTACAATTACTGAAATGAAACTTAAGATTTACTAAAATGTATGGGTCCATCTCAAGATTCAGGTGTGATGGAAGGAGAGTCAGTGGAACCTTGTTGCAGAGAGAAAAGCCAAGTCCTTTTTCATTAGTACACTTCTGTCTACAGTAGCCTTTCCTCGCTCATTACACAACACTTATTCTCCTTTGTAGGAAAATGACAAAGGAAAATCTGACAAATCCTATCCCATATGACAATTTTTTTCACAGCTTCTGTTTCCTAAACTAAAAACAACAACCAATAGCAACAACAAAAACCTATGGCAGCCAGACGCTGGTGGCTCACGCCTGTAATCCTAGCTACTCAGGAGGATCACGGTTCAAAGCGAGACCCTGTCTCACTCAAAAAAAGCCATCCCAAAAATAGGGCTGGTGGAGTGGCTCAAGATGTAGGCCCTGAGTCCACATCCCAGTACCACACACACAAAAAACCCTAAGGCTCAGATTTTAAATGATTGACACATTTCCCACAAAATATTGAAAATATTGTTGCTTCTGAAAATACAGAATTTTAACATTTTTAAGAAGAACCAAACAAAACTTACATTTTCATAAAATATGAAAATACATGCATGTTTCAGGCACATGAAAGTTCTGTCATAAGAGATACATTTCTTTTTTAGATAAAGATTTTCTTTCTCCATGAATCCTCCACTTTTGTTTCAAGTAGCAGATGCCAACTGGAGAAACATGTGCTTTTCTTTCAAGGATACAGGAGTATCTCCTATAACCCGAAGACAGGACACAGCTGAGCTCCAAGAAAGCTTGAAAGGAGGAATGGCCATCTGTTCAAACTTTCTTTCCATCTCTAGTCCCTCCAACCCTGATCAGTTAGCTGTGGTAGGAGTGGGTATGGGGCTCAGGAGGGGGATGGGATTGCCTGCCCCATAAGCATTATTGGGAAGTATGGTATACCGTTATCTAGGGCTGCCATAACAGAATACCACAGACCGAGTGGCTTAAACAACAGAAATTTATTTCCTCACAGTTTGGAGGCTGGAAGTCTCTAGAACTGTAAGAAAATAAGTTAAGGTGCCAGAGGGCTGGCTTTTGGTGAGGCCTCTCTTCCTGGCTTGCAGGTGTCTACTTTCTTATTATGTCCTCACATGCTTTATTTCCATGTGCACCCATCTGTGGTGTCTTGCCCTCTTCTTATAAGGACACCATTCATAATGGATTAGGGCTAACTCTTTATGACTTTATTTAAAAGATTAAAACCCCACCTCCAAATATAGAGAGTCACATTCTAAGGTCCAAGGAGTTAGAGCTTTAACAAGGAATTTGGTGAGGGGTACAATTCAGTCTATAACATATAGCTATGTAGAGAAAATGAAAACTATGACAGCAACTGTTAGTTGTCACGGATAACCATTATCCAAGTAGTACTACAATGTTCAAGTTTACTCAGGGCACCTGAGTCTCTAGCCCAGCTAGAGACTACATTTCCCAGCCTTCCTTATGGCTTGATGTAGTCATGTGACTAAACTCTTAATAGTGGGATGTAACTGGAACCTGTGTGGCATATCTCTAAGACAGTTGAGTGTGGACTCCTTTCCCCTTTCCACTGGATGGGAAGTACAAATTGGAGGAAACATCTAGAACCTGGAATGAAAGTTGTATGTTGAGAATGTGTTCTTTATTCTATCATTTTGTGCTATCGAAGCCAGGCTTTCAACATGGCCTGGACTGCTCACCTCTGTTATGTGAGAGAGAAGTAAATCTCTACCTGGTTTAAGCATTTCTATTCTGGGTTCCTGGGAAACAGCATCTCGGTCTGTACCCTCAAGAATAGAGCATCTGCAAAACAGAGTAATGGTACAGCTGCTTTCTTTGATTCCCCACCTGTGTCTGCCTATTATGAGAAGAGAGGGTGTATGCTCCCCTCTGCCACCTGGAGCAGAGCATCTGGCATGCCAAGGCAACCAGTGTCTCTTACCTGTGCTGCTATAATAGGTCTCCTCACTCTTTCTTTTGCTTTACACCTTTTCCAAAGAGCAGTTGCAGTGGTAGTTTATAAGGTGTCTGTCCATTTGGACAGCTATAACAAAGTGCCATAGAGTGGGTGACTTACAGACAGCAGAAATTTATTGCTTACAATTCTGGAACTGGAAGTCCAAGGTCAAGGTGCTGGCAGAGAGGACCAGCTTTCTGGTTCTTGGATGCTTGTCTTTCACTGTGTCCTTAAATACAGGAGGAAGAGTGAGGGAGCTCTCAGGGTCTCTTTTATAAGGGCACTTAGCCATTTGTGAGGGTTCCAGCCTCATGACCCAATCACTTCTCAATGCCCCCACCTCCTAATGCCATTACTTTGGGGCTTAGGATTGCTTCTTTTTTTGGGTGGCACTGGGGTTTAAATTCAGGACCTCCTGCTTGTCAGACAAGTGCTGTACCACTTAAGTCCTGCCTCCCCAGTCCTTTTCAGGTAGGGTCTCATGCTTTGCCTGGGTCAGCCTCAGTACTGCGTCCTCCTCCATCTCCCAAGCAGCTGGAACACAAGCGTGTACCACCATGCCCAGTTTTCTTGTTGAGTGGAGGGGTGTCTCAAAAACTTCCCCAGGTCTGACCTCAAACCTTAATCCTTCTATCTCCACCTCCAAGTAGCTGCGATTATAGGTATGAACCACCATGCCCAGCTGGGGTTTAGGATTTCAACTTAAGAATTTTGATGTAAACATTCAAACCATGGCAGAAGAGATGAGGAACCTATGTTGCTGATCAGAGAGGGATGCCAGGATGAGCTCTCCATGGGCAAGCCTGGGTAGCACAAGGACCCTGGGCATGTGGCTGGGAAAGCCCTGCAAAGAGGTGGGCACAGTGGATGCAAAGTCAGAAGTGTAAGGGCACCCTAAGCAAAGGAAGCATCCAGTGGACAGCTCTGCTGGCTGTTAGTTCTCAGGGCGGCTGGAACAAATGACTGCTAACTAGGTAGCTTTGAATAGCTGGAATTTCTTTCTAATGGTTCAGGAGGCCAGAAGTCAGAAGCAAGGTGTTGGCAGGGTTGGTTCCTTCTGGAAACTCTGGGGGGGAAATCATCTCATGTCTCCTGGCTTTTGGTGGTAATCAATGGTGTATCCCTTCAGTCTGAGCCTGTCTTCACATGGCCTCTCTGAGTCTCCTCTTTTTCTGTCTTTTATGAGGACTCTGGAGCTGGATTTAGGGGCCTCCTCAGTCCTTTGTGATATCATCTTTATCCATAGCTTAATTACAAGATGGCCATCTTCTTTTTCCAGGTGGACAAGAATTTGGAGTTGGGGGAGAGGACACTTCTCCGGGATTGGGGGTGTGGCTCTCTCTGATGACCTGTGGCAGTTAAAAAAAAAGCTTTCTTTGGAAGAAGGAGGAATCTGAAAGAAGTTTCTTGGGAAGTCAGAGGTACAAAGAAGGGATAGGGAAAGAGAATCAAATGGATGAGAGAGAATAGGAAAGAGATGCGGGTGGAGGTGGGAATGTGAATGTGGAGAAGGTATGAATTTCGAAGAGAAATTCAGTGAAAGCACTGAAAAAGGAGGAAGTATTTTTGCTGAGATTTCTGATAACCGATTTGATTAGAAAGGAATGAGAATAAATCACATCAGTGAAAGAGACCTGAGGCGGTTTCTTAAACCACATGGAAGGGTTTAAATTATAGTTAATGAGGATCTCAACTTGATCAAGTCTAAATCAGAGGTGATTTTGTTTTTCTTTAGTCATCCCATCAACTAGATTCTGAAATTCTTTCCTTCCACCTCCGGGTGAGATCTGGAGCACAGTTTGTACCACCCCAGTGCTTTTGAGGTGTTAGTGCAGCAATCTAGTTTAAAATGTGTGATCCCCAGCTCCATCTAAAGTTCACAGTGTGTTCCCTATATCATGGGCTTTGTAGATCAGCCTTGGCATATATATGGGGTAAGGTGGTCATGATTTACCTTAGACTCGCACCTACAGCTCCTCCTTCCCCATGTGGAGACCAGGAAGGCAGATAACCTTTTCTATAATTGTGTTGATGGGGGCACAGGCTAAGTTGCAGGACAGGGAGATCCAAATATATGGGCTTAAGTTAGATTGGAGTTTGTCTCTTAAATGATGGGTCAAGCATACTCAGAAATTCTAGAATCATGTGTTAGTCCATTCTCTGTGGCTATAAAAAAGTACCTGAGGCTGCAAAAGAGGTTTATTTATTTATTTTTTCTTTTATTATTCATATGTGCATACAAGGCTTGAGTCATTTCTCCCCCCTGTCCCCACCCCCTCCCTTACCACCCACTCCGCCCCCTCCCTCTCCCCCCCACCCCCTCAATACCCAGCAGAAACTATTTGCCCTTAGTTCTAATTTTGTTGGTAGAGAGAGATAAGCAATAATAGGAAGGAACAAGGGTTTTGCGGTTGAGATAAGGATAGTATACAGGGAGTTAACTCGCATTGATTCCTGTGTGTGTGTGTTTTACCTTCTAGGTTAATTCTTTTGATTTCTAACCTTTTCTCCTAGTTCCTGGTCCCTTCTCCTCTTGGCCTTCTTGCTTTAAGGTATCTGCTTTAGTTTCTCTGAGTAAGGGCAACAAATGCTAGCTATTTTTTAGGTGTCTTACCTATTCTCTCCGTCCCTCCTGTGTGCTCTCCCTTTTATCATGTGCTCAGAGTCCAATCCCCTTGTTGTGTTTGCCCTTGATCTAATGTCCATATAGAAGGGAGAACATACGATTTTTGGTCTTTTGGGCCAGGCTAACCTCACTCACAATAATGTTCTCCAATTCCATCCATTTTACCAGCGAATGATAAACATTTCGTTCTTCATGGCTGCATAAAATTCCATTGTGTATAGATACCACATTTCTTAATCATTCGTCAGTGGTGGGGCATCTTGGCTCTTCCATAACTTGGCTATTGTGAATGTGCCGCAATAAAAATGTGTGCAGGTGCCTCTGGAGTAACCTGTGTCATAGTCTTTGGGTATATCCCAAGATGGTATGCTGGATCAAATGGTAGATCATGTCTAGCTTTTTAAGTAGCCTTCAAATTTTTTTCCAGAGGTGGTTGTACTAGTTACATTCCCACCAACAGTGTAAGAGGGTTTCTTTTTCCCACATCCTCGCCAACACCTGTTGTTGGTGGTGTTGCTGATGAGGCTATTCTAACAGGGGTGAGGTGGAATCTAGTGTGGTTTTTAATTTGCATTTCCTTTATTGCTAGAGATGGTGAGCATTTTTCATGTGTGTTTGGCCATTTGAATTTCTTTTTTTGAGAAAGTTCTGTTTAGTTCACTTGCCCATTTCTTTATTGGTTCATTAGTTTTGGGAGAATTTAGTTTTTTAAGTTCCCTATATATTCTGGTTATCAGTCCTTTGTCTGATGTATAGTTGGCAAATATTTTCTCCCAAAAAGAGGTTTATTTAGATCACAGTTTTGGAGACTAAAGGTCTGAGTAGCCTGGTGCTGGCTCTGGTGACTATAACATACCATGACATCATGGCAGATGGCATCATGGTGGGAATGCATACAAAATGGAGAGATGAGAGAGAGAGAGAGAAGAGGAGAGGAGAGAGGAGAGGAGAGGAGAGGAGAGAGGAGAAGAAAGGAGGTGAAGGAAGGGGAGGGGAGGGGAGGGAAGCAGAGAGGAGAGAGAGCTTTTTCCTTATAGCAGTCCTCTCATAATACTAACCAGAGCTCCACAAGAACAGTTCCTTCCAATGACAGAGTCTTCAGTGACTGAACCAACTCCCACTCGGCCCCACCTCTTCAAGGTCCCATACCTCTCAACATTGTCACCCTGGGGACCTAGCTTCTAACACATGAATTTTTGAGGGGAGAGAACAGACTACATCCAACTAGCTGTCTCTACTGCATAAAGTCATTCAAGGGCCTGAGCTGACCGGTTAGTTCTGTTTCCCACATCTCTTGTCTTCCCCTCTGGTCTCCATTCTCCACCCTATGGAATCACTGGAGTTGATGAAGTCCCATGTCCTCTCTGAGAGCTGTGGATCCAGGGAACCTGAGGTAGAGATACACCCACTTTCCCTGTTACCTGATGTCACAGTCTCTATTGCCTTTCAGCAGGGGTTCCTCCAACAAGAATCTCCAGGCGAGTAGACAGCAACACCTCTACTGACTTATATTCCTGGAGGAATGTTCTCTGGGATGACTCAGAGAGGCACCAGCCCCCAGGGTGGTCCTGCACATTCTGCATCAGAACAAGCATCCTCCTGAGGGAAGAGAAGCCTGGCCTCCCTGCAGTGTCTGTGGGTGACACTGGCACTTCCACTTCACTTGCCTTAAGCAGAGATGCCAGCTTCCCCATGGGGAGCAAAGGGTGCAGGTTTATGTCATAACTAATGATGTCCTCATGCTGCTGACTCACCCCTCTCCCCACCCAACACTCTTACGTGGAGTGGAAAATGTAAAGTCTGGGCGATGGTAAGGGTGGTGCTTTCTGGTGCAACTGCTTCTGAGAATGCCTGAGGGGAAGTGCCTGGTCCCAATTATTGGCAACTTTCTGTAGAATGTGAGTATATAACCCTTCCTTGTTCTTGATTTTGGACCCAAGTCATAGAAAAATTCCAATCAACACCCTGTTTTGCAATCAGTAGAACCAACAGATAGGAAGAGAAAACAAAACTGCCGCTAGGCTATTGAATTACAGGGCAGGCAAACAATCTAAAAATACGTACCTAGGGCTGGACACAGTGATGCATGCCTATAATCCCAGTACATGGATGGGGGATGGAGATGGGAGGATCAGGGTCTAAGGCCAGCTCACCTCCCTCATAAAAAGCTATTGAGACCTTATCACAAAAAACATGCCAGGCAGCTGGGATGGTGGCTCACATCTGTAATCCTAGCTACTCAGGAAGCAGAGGTCAGGAGAATTGCAGAAGCTAGCCCAGGCAAATAGTTTGCAGATCCTGTCTTGAAAATACTCAACATAGAAAAGGGCTGGTGAGTGGCTCAAGTGGTAGAACGACTGCTTAGCAAGTGTGAGGCCCTGAGTTCAAACCCCAGTATTGCCAAAGAAAAAGAACAAAAAAACCCCATGACATATGTATGTAATCCTAGCTAGGCAGGAGACAGAAGCAGAAGGATTGCTGTCAGAGGCTGGCCCTGAGCAAAAACAGATCTTATTAGAAAAGTAAACTAAAGGAAAAGGGCTGGAGGCATGACTCAAGTGGTAGAGCCCTGAATTCAAACCGCAGTACTTAAAAAAAAGAAAGTATCCTAAATTTGAGTTCAATAGTCAATTTAAAAAGACATTTTAGGGGGAGAGTGATAAAGGAGAATGACAGAGGGAGTGAATTCAACTATGATATATTGCAGGAACTTTTGTAATTATCATATTGTACCTCCAGTACAACAATAATAAAATTTAAAAAATGATGAAAACCACAAAAGATTAAAAAAATAAAAAAAGACATTTTACTGGGTGTGGTGGTACACCCTTGCAATTCGAGCACTCTGGAGGCTGAAGCTCTCCTTCTAGGATCCTGAGTTTGAGGACAGCCTGGGATGCATAGCAAGACCCTGTCTCAAATAACCAAGTAATCAAACAAACAAATGAGACATACCACTTATAATAAAAGGAGAAAAGGCAGAGAATAATGGTATGGTGGATTTATGTCCACGGGCTCAGAAAGTCTATTAAGAAATAAATCCTAAGAAAAGAATTGCTCCTACCCATCCTGGGAAAATGTTGCTGCTCACTGCAGAGTTAGCTCTAATAGTGAAATTTTGGGAACCATTTAAATACCCAACAATGGAAGACTGGTTATACACTGTGAACTAAAATGTTTTAAAAAAATAAATTATAAATAAAATGGAATATCTCCCACAATAATTACAAAGTTGTGGGTCAATAATTATTGATATGAAAAGATATTTATGGTATATTATGTGTTAGATTGACGCAGATGGAGAGGCCAGATCAGAGTCAAATGATAAAGCAAGCAGGCTTTATTGAGAGCGCACTCTCAGATGAGGTTCATCGTCCCCAAAGAACAGGGCTGGAGAATGGTGCCCAAGAAATGGCAGCCCAATTTTTTATATCCTGGGTGAAGTCAAGAGCTTCAGGTATCATGAGGCATCGGGATAGGTTGAAGTCTAGTGGGGACCTATCTATAGGATAGGTCCGGATCTATTTCCTGCTGGTGGGAATTTCCATGGTAACCAGAGGAGGAAGAGGAAAGAGAGGAGTGAAGTGGAAAGTCCCTGATCATCACGGGCCAGAGGGAGTTGCCATGGCAACTGGGGGGGGGGAAGAGGGAGGAGAAGGGTGGGGTGGAAAGTCCCTGATTGTCACAGGGTGGCTGCCCACCGGCCAAACATCCCAGACTCTTTGGTATAAGGGGTGCAGAATCGGTTCTGGCTACTTCCTGATGAAGGGGGGGTGAAGTTAGGGGCTAAGGATGTCTTGGGTCATTTGACTGAAGCAGCCAGACCCCATGGGGAGAGGCTGGTAACCATGGACATGGAGCAACATTTGGTTGAAGGTTACCTGCGTTAACTGGAGGAGGCGGTCTTGGAGAAATTGAAAGAGAAAGGGTGCCAGGAGCAGAAAGAGGCAAATAATCAACAGGGGACCTATCAGTGGGGTGAGAATGTTAAACAGGGTTGAATTCCATCAGCCAGGAGTGTCAGTCGAGGCAGCATTGTAGCGATGCATCTCATCACTGAGCTTGTGAAGAGACTGGACACGAGTTTCCACCAGGCCTGACTCATTGATACAGTAGCAGCATTCTTCCGAAAGAAAGAGGCAAGTTCCCCCTTTGTCCGCTGTGAGAAAGTCTAATGCGTGGTGGTTCTGTAGAGCTACCTGAGCTAGGAAAGTTATCTGTTTTTGAAGAGTGGCAATGGATGCTGCTGAGTCTTCGAATCCTGCCAGGATCTGTTGAGAGAGCCTTTGGGTCTGAATTACTGAGTGAGCCAGGGCACCGGAGCTGAAACCTGTAGCTGCTATTGAGGCTGCCAAAGATAGGCCCATGAGGACAGGCAGGAAGACAGCCCTCCTAGTCCTATGTTGAGGTGAGGGCTGGATTCCTGATGTAAGGTCTAGGAGTTGAAAGAATTCTCCTCTTTCATACACAGTAAGCTGGGGAACCATAGAGATGGGTAAACAGAGCTGGGAAGTCAGGGCCTGTTGGGTGAGGTTTTTTGAAAGCATGCCATTACACCAAAAGAAGCCTCTTGGAGGTGCCCAGAGGGAGCCCGATATGGTAGAGTTAGTGGTGTTGCATATTTTGCCAGGATCAGAGTAGCAAAAGGGTAACTGTGGGGATATAGGTTCTCAATATAAAAGGGCCCCTGCGAGGGGGGTGAGCAGAGGCATGGAGGCTGACTCGTTTGATGGGAATGGCCCAGGTAAGGGAACAGCTATGAGTGGGGGCCTGGACAAAGTGGCACAGAGGAAGCACTTAGTTACATTGACCAGACCTGACCTATTTAACAAGTTGGCACCTTCCTGAACCAGGGACAGCCAGGAAATAGGGTCCCTCTGGCTTTTGTTCTGAAGGCTGTTTTCTGCCTCCTTGATGGTCTTTGCCTGATCTTCTAGTACTCCAAGGATCATGGGGACCATTCGCTCATACTCCCTCCAGATCTGGAAGGTCGTTGAGGGGTATGAGGAAGCCCCATGTGCATATCCCCTGGCTATTACCCCGGTTGCCCATCTATCATGCTAGGGGTCAGGAATGTCGAGGTAGAATTTGGAGCCATCACAGTAGGCCTTTAGCATGTTGCCTGGGGAAGACTTAAGTGCCCCTGTGATCCAATGAACTTTGCAACTCCAATAAGGGCAACCTCCATATTCCTCAGCCCATTTAGCCCCTTCTTTACAGTATGACCTGGTCTGATCAGACACAAAACACAAAAAAGGGGCATTACCATCAAAAACAAGAGATGCAGTCATAAAGTTGAGGTGAGGGAACTGCTACATCCCATAGGGGGGCAGTCCCTGGAGCCGATGAAGGGGGTGGTCACCACGCTGCCCCTATTGTATGTCTCTTGGATCTTGAATCTCCAGTGGTAAGGAGAAGGTGGTTCAGACAGGGTCAGGGGAAAGGCTAGGATCAGCACTAGGAGCGTCCCCAACCCAGGAGATCCGAAGGGAAGTGGGCCCCATTGGTATAACCTGCCAGATTTTGGTAGAAGTGGTGGATGGGAGCTTTTTAAGGCGGGCGAGGTGGTAACAGGAGTTTCGCCGCCGAGGGAGTGGCGAGGATAACAGTGTATGGTCCTGTCCATCTGGGTTGGAGGGGCTTTGTATGTAGCTGCTTGAGAAGAACGTGGTTGCCTGGAGACAGGGGGCCATGGTCTGGCAGAACAGCATCTGACTGGGGTAGATAGTGATCTGCGTGGGTCCGGATCAAGGAGTGGAGGAGAGTGAAGTAAGGTAGGTATCCTGCTAAGGGAGGTGTATTTGGGGGAAGAGTGTGAGAAAGGAGAAAGGGGCGACCATATACCAGCTCAAAGAGGCTTAAGCCTGTTGGCTGCATAGGGGCCACTCGGAGGCAGTTGAGGGCCAGGGGCAGCAGGTCAATCCAGGAGAGCCGGAGTTCCAGGGACAACTTGGTGAGCTGTTGTTTGATCAGGCCGTTGGCCCGCTCAACCTTACCTGAGGATTGGGGGTGGTACAGAATGTGGTATGGGATGTGGAGCTTCCAAGTGATGGCTAGATGTTCACAGACTAGTTGAGTGACCCTGGAGATGAAGGCGGGGCCGTTGTCCAACTGGAGACTTTGTGGAAGACCGAAGCAAGGAATTATGTGACAGACAAGAGTGTTGGCTATGACTGCAGCCCCTTCTGTGGCTATAGGAATGGTTTCTATTCACCCTGTGAAGGTATCAACAAAAGTGAGAAGATACCAGAATTTTTTGTGTTTAGGCATATGAGTGAAGTCAACCTGCCAATCTTCACTGGGCTGGCTGCCACGGAGTTGGTGGAGGGACTGGTGGAGATGGAGTCTGCCCTGAGGGTTCACCTGGGAGCAGACAGGACAAGTCTCCTGGACCCACCGGATGGTGGATTGGAGGCCCTTAGGGTGGAAAAAGGGTTCCAGGAAAGAGAAAAGGCTTTGGGGCCTATGTGTAGTGAATTGTGAATGGCGGTGATGACCTCTGTTGCCTGGCCCAAGGGGAGGATCAGACAGTTGTCTTTGAAGATCCACCCACTGGGGGATGTAGCTCCCCCTTCTTTGAGAAGAGCGGCAAATTCTTCCGGCTCATAGTTTGGAGTAAAGGTAGGAGAGAGAAAGAGAATGGGTGGGGGGAGTTGACTGCTCTGCAATCTGTCGGGCCGTTAGGTCCACAAAGGAGTTTCCTCGTGCCACTGGGTCACTGGAGGCCTGGTGTCCCCTGCAGTGGATGATGGTGACCTCCCTTGGGAGTTGTAGGGCTCGTAACAGCTTGGCAATGGGGGTCCATTGGCCACCGGAGTACCCCGTGTGGTCAAGAAACCCCTCTTTCCAGATAGCTGCATGAGAGTGTGCTATAAGGAAAGCACATTTAGAGTCAGTA